AATTGTGCCAACAAAATGAAAGTCCAGACAAAGAAATTAAAGGGCGCGGGTATCTGCCCAAAAAGGTGCGTTTGTCGAAAATTTACCCGTAAGACGGTGTAAGGGATATGTTTTTGTTGAGTGTTTTGATTATACTTACTTTTTCTCGTTTTTGTTAAAGATTTTCTGGATCTTCGAGGAGAGCCACTTTTTCTTTCGTTCTTGGGTCTGTTAAAAGTGCAATGTGTACTTCTTTTTTTACATTCTATGCATGGCTCATCATCATTTTTGTCACATTTCTTTTTCAGTCGATTGCATAAATCGCACGCTGCTAGCGCACGCGCTCGATCTGTGGTAGTGGATATTGCAATCGCAGTAGTAGTAACCATCGCCATCACTGGACAGATGGTGGTGGCTATTGCAGTCGCAACTGATTGAGAGGTGGTGGTAGTGGCGGCTATTGCGGTCGTAGTGTTTACTGGGCCCGGGAGAGTACCACTATTCATATCGAATAGACCAGTTTAAATAATAAAATGTGCTTGGTAGATAGTAACTTTAGTTTTCTTTTTTTTTTTTTTCCACCTCAAAGAAGGCACCCCTTTGCGGTTTTTTTTTAATAGGACAAATATTGTGTCAAAAATTTGGCGATACAATTTTCATACTTATATATGAAAATAAGAATGAAATATATAGTATAGACTTTAATAAAAAGCCGATCGATTTAGAGTAGATGTCACCTATGCTATATTTCATCTGAAAAGAAGCATCACTGGTGAAGACCTGTTATTATCAAAGAATGTAGCGGCGTGGTACATTACTGCACGTGTTGTTACGCAAAAAAAAATAAAAAATAAAAGGGAGCTTAAAAAAAAAGTCAACATTATATAAGTGACGTGACAACATAAATGAAATTGGACGAGAATTACAAAGATTTAATGCGAATCATATATTATACTTTAAGATTTTACAAAACTTATTTAGAAATTGTAATGCGATTTTTTATACCAAACGTCCTTTTTATTAACTCAGCCTACTTTTTACTTTTTTTTAGGCGGTTAATCTTTTGATTGTTGTCTTTCCATTTTTAGTTTTCTAGTATGCTGTAACGTATTAAATATTAAAAGTTACACGAGAATGGCGGAAGCCGATGATATTTATAGTCTTAAAACTATCGGAGGATTTTAAATTCGAGTTTATCACAATTGATGTGATAAACTCGAATTATTGACTCTTTAAATGGAACAATTATACTCTATTAATTTTCTTTTTTTTTTTTGGCAATAACTTCAGAATAGCAGAAATGGTAATAAAATCTTTATTCAAGTTATTCCGTTAATCTGAAATTGAAAAAAATAGATAGAGGATATTGTGTTTATTTTCCAAGTTTTACGGTAATAAATTTGTAATATCACCACAGTGAAAAATTAGGTATAACTTTTTTTTTTTTAAAAAAAAAAAAAAAAAAGTAATGATAATATCTCAAAAATTCATATATAAACCCACTTTTTTTGGGCTCTAACAAAAAATAAAATAAAATAAAATAAAATAAATAATTAAAATAAAATAAAATAAAATAAAAATAAAATATATAAAACAAAGTAAAATAAAATAAAATAAAATAAAATAAATAAAATAAAAATTCTTACAAGATTTTATTATAAAACGAGTTATTGTTTTAATAATGATTTTTTATATCACACCAGTAGCGTAATTTAGCGGTAGTGTTACTGTTACTTAGCGGAATGTCGGCTCGATCGGCTTGGATATAGGTATAAAATATAGCAAAATTTTATTATTAATACTTTTGCATAAAGCCGCTAACATGGTACAACAAAAACTGGTTAATGCTAAACTTCTATCTATCACAGGTTTAATATTTGGAAGTTTTAACGTTTGTTTAATTTTACATTTATACGCATCACACTAAGTCTGTGCCACTTAAATTAAAAATATTTATTCTACGATACGTAATGGATAAATTGTTCTTTATAAGGGAATATATGATGTATATATATACTTGTGCATCGATATGTTGATCTAAATTTACTTAAATTGGAATTTGTGTGAAACTAAAATGTCGCCAATTGATATACATAATGGAAAAGTCTATCGTTATAATGGGGCTGCTTGAAAATAATCCATGTCCATGTACGTACGTCATTTATTTTCGGCGATACATCATTCTTTTTGAGCATAAAAGATAACAATGATTGTGTCAGAGTTTCGAGGCTTCTCCGTTATGATATTTTTACCGTTTCTTTACGTTTAAGTTATAATTTTCAAATTACGGATGTTATGGACTTATTTTTTGTAACCTTATTTAGTAATTAG